CACCCCCCGTGGTCCTGACATCCTTGCTCGTGTTCTCCCTCCATCTGCTTCTCATTGGGACCTTGGGAGCTCAGTCCAGTGCTCCAGTGTGGGTCTCTGTCTCTATCTCCATCCATCACCAGATGAAGGTTCCCAGTGATGTCTCTCCTGGTGCCTGGACCGGAACTCCTTGTTTGATTTTATTTTTAAAAAAATATTTGAGACACAGTTTCTTATATCATCGAACAATATTTAATGTGGTGCTTGGAATTCAGCCTGAATCTTGACGCATACTAAACAGCACTTTGCCACTGAGTGGCTTCCGGAACTTACCCTTCTGTGAAATATCTGAGACAGTCTCACCATATAACCCAGGCTGGCCAGGACCTTACTGTGTAGACCAGGCTGGCTTCAAACTTGAGATAATCAAACTTCTACTTCTTGAATGCTAGCATTAAAGTCTTTAAATAGCTAGCAGAGCTGAGATATTTCACTATGCAAATCCCTGCCCCACCCCCGCCGGTAGAAGTCTAATGAAATCCTAGGAATCTATTTCTCAGCTTCATATGCCATTTATATTATACCAGGATTACAGTAGTTTCATCCTCTCTTCCCTAACTCTAGTACTGTTTCTTTTTTTTTTTTTTTTTTTGGTTTTTCGAGACAGGGTTTATCTGTAGCTTTGGAGCCTGTCCTGGCACTAGCTCTTGTAGACCAGGCTGGCCTCGAACTCCCAGAGATCCGCCTGCCTCTGCCTCCCTAGTGCTGGGATTAAAGGCATGCGCCATCACCGCCCGGCTCTGTTACTGTTTCTTAACAGAATAATAGAAAATAAATCCTAGGATTATTATTTTAGCATCAGATACTTTATAATACATCTTCAAAAGGATCCTAAGTGACATTTTATCCTTCAGTGTTCAGTAGCCTTGAAATCAAACAACTGTGGGCTGCAGATATCGCAAACAAATGGTGTTAGTGTAACAAACACACTTAGACTCTCCTTATTCGCTAGATAGTGTTATCACACCTACTTAAATAATATCCACATTGTATTGGATATTACAATTAATATAGAGATAATTTAGAGTTTTTAAGGGGAAGTTTTTAAGGGGAAGTTTTTAAGGGGATATGTAAACATGGTATTTTGAGCATCCTTGGACTTTGATGTCTATGGCCCATAGCAGGGACCCTGATGTTAGCCCTCTATGGATACTGAAGGACAGCTATAGGCTATAATGGAATTCTTTGAATATAAATAACTTGACCGTGTTGAGTAACTAATGCCTTTTTAGAACTCTGTGTTAGCTAAGATAGACAGGAAGGTGGCATTCTAATGTATAATTTGATGCATGATCAGTTACTTTCTGTTTCTCAGGGGTTGGAGGTCAGCATGTGTTCATGACTGGTTTTGAATTTGTGAATCAAAATCTCCAACATCAGTAGGCTGCCCTGCCTAGGTTTCTCATTTCTATTTCAGCTGTGAGCAGTCTCTGAGTGTGGAGTGTGGTCAGTCTTCCAGGGACAACATCTGTAACGAAAACTAAGCCTGTCCACACTTAGCAGGCATCCATGGATGGCAGCTCCTGGGTCGGGGCTTGTGTGCATCTCCCCATCCATGCCAGAACGTTGACTGGCTTGATGTTATGCAGGCAGCCATAGCTGCTGGGAGTTTTTGAATACAGCAGGCCCTTAGTGTCATGCCTAGGTGACCTGGGTTACTCCAGTCCTCTAATGCTCTGACTAAGAGTCTTTCTGCCCATCTTCCTTGACGTTCCCTGAGCCTTGCAGGGAGGGCCCATGTTACAGATGTCTACTGTATTTCTCAGCAGTCCACAGACTTTTATTCTGTCTTGCCATTTGCATGTCTTGATGCCTCTAGAACCTTCCCTTTCTGCTGTACCCCCCCCCAATGGTACTCCTCTTCTCTCAAGAAATAACCCAATATTTAAATGTATACCTTCTATAGAACTTTTTCTTGTTTTAACCGTTCTTTGGACTTTTAATTTTATCATTTTATTTATGTATACGGGTTTTTTGCTTGCGTGTATGTTTGTGTATCACATGTACTCAGTGCCTGCAGAGGCCAGAAGATGATTCCCCGGAACTGGAGCCATGAGTGGTTGTGAGCCACTGTGTGGATTCTGGGAACAGAATCAGGGTCCTCTGTAAGAGCAGCCAGCTCTCCTAACCACTGACCCCACACGTAGCTGTCTCTAGGGAACAACTGCAAGCATTTTTCTGTTTCCTCTTCAGGATGACTTGTGTTTCCTGGCCAACTTTCACGCTTCTTTTATGGACTGATGCCTGTGCCTCGCTTTCTGCCTTCCCCTAGTATTGGGTGTGAGACAGTGAATATCAGTCTCTGACACTTCTAGTCCCAAAGGGTGGCAGTTTCGGGTACTCACTTCTTCATATAATCCCCTGGAGGGTCAACAACAACAACAACAACAACAACAACAAAAGAAGATTTGCCTAATTAAATCCCAGTGGGGTGGAGGTTCCTTTTAGGTGGAGAATATATAGTAAGTAACAGAGACTATTCTCTTTTGAGGCAAGAGGTGTTTGGGAACCTGGGAGAGCAAATCCCAGTGCCTTTTTATGTGTGCTGTCTGGCCTCATCCTGCAGCTTTGTTCATTAGGAATCCTCCTTCACCCAAGGAGCCTTGGAGACTGTTGCTCACTGGTAATGTTTACTGTCCTCTCTCTGGGGACTTCTGAGCCAGGTGATCTGCCAGCCCCCCTCTAATAACTGTGTTTCCTACATAGGGCGGACTCTGTTGGAGAAACTCTTCAGCCAGCAGGAAAACGGGCCTCCGGAAGAAGCCGAGAAATTCTGCTCGCGGATCATCGCCATGGGCCTTCTGCTCCCTTTTAGTGACTGCTTCAGGGAACCATGTAATCAGAACGCTGGGTCAGGCTCAGCTCCATTTGATGTAAGTAGGAGAAGCCACTTCTGTCTGGGGGGGGAGAATGCAGTTGGAGGAGCAGCTGTGATGTGTGTTTGCCCCAATTGCCCTGTAATTTAAAAATAACACGTGATGCGAGGCTTCCTCCCCTGGGCCACTCAAGGGCCCAGCTTCTCTACTTCTATGTTTTTCTTTAGACTATGGCATTAGGTATAGTTTGCAAACTTCTCTTAAAAAACAATAACAACAATAACAAAAATCCAAATAGTCTCTCTTTGTAGTTTTCTAGCCTGCTCTAACCAGGACTGATTTGAAGATCTTTTGAAAATTTTCTTTTGGGTGGAGATTAAACATGCATAGGCAAGTGTTTGTCACCAAACTAAACCTCATACATCACTATTTCTGTGCTGGTCACAGACATTCCTTCAGAAGCTGCACCAAAGAGTAAAATACGAGTCCCAATGGGTCACAGGTTTCCATGGGCACTAGAGCGCTGTGCATTTTCCCAACTCATTTGTGCAGTAAACGCTGCCAAGAAGAAGCAACAGCCTCTGCCGTTATTCGAGCCTCCACTCAGCAGGACTTAATAGTGTGGAGCTCAGAAGGCATGCTTGTAACTCATCATGAATACCAGCACGGCCCAACTAGCATCTTCAAGCCAGAGTGTTAACTTTCTCAGGTATGCGGTGTGTGTGTGGTGCAGTGCTGGGAAGCACGCACCTAACCAGAGATAGGCAAGAGTTCTCATCTGTGTATCTCTCATGAGAAAGCTGGGGATGGGAGATCTGGTTGGATCTTTTGTGCAGAGCCCAAGAAAGGAATGTTTGAGGACATTGGATTCTGACCACATGGCTAACTACATTCCTTCCAGTATTGCCAGACAGACCTCAAAAGGCAGGGAATATGAACAGATGCTGAACCTCAAGAGCTGGTTATAGAGCCAAGTATAGTGCTTCATGCCCATAATCCCAGCACCTGGGAGACCAATGCAGAAGGATCAAGAGTTTCAGGTCAGCCTGAGCTACACAGTAAGGCTTTGTCCGCAGAACCAAAGAGTATGAAAAGGTGATCACACATAACTAAGTGTCCATGCTTGCTGCTTTCTTCTTCCTCTGGGTTACCAATCCTAACCTCTATTCTTTTGCCATCTCTCTCTCTCTCTCTCTCTCTCTCTCTCTCTCTCTTTAGTATGAGCAGAAGAACCCTCATAAACTATTCTGATATTTCAGTTTTGGTTTGTGAGAAACCTTTCTAGATCATGAAGCTATAATAAACAGAAAGGAACAGCACTTGCTGGGCCTTCTTTAAGATTTCTTTTTATTTTTTATTCAAGACTTAAATGACATGGCAGCTAATCACTGCTAGGTAGACCTTATTCCTGTGGAAAGAATTTGGTAATTTACAAAGTCTCCTCCCTGTGGAAACTGTGTGATTCTGGAGACAGAACCCGAGGACTTCAGTGTGGGGTGCTGTAGAGCTACATTCTGGCAGATACCAAGATGGAACTTTGGGGATATGGTAAATACAGTAAAATAGAAACACTAGCTATGTCTGTATTGCATGCAACATCTATTTATAGCAGCCTTTGCCGTCTTCATCAGAGCAGCTATGACTACTTGCACCTTCAAGATATAACCTGTTGATGTTCCCTCACGGAGGAAGAGGTGGGGGCAGGGACATGTACTCTCACCTGAGACTCCAGCCACTCTTCCCAGCTGTGTGTAACTCTGTCCAAGCTTCACGTGGGCTTGTGGTCCGGGGAGGTGCTAGACTACATGATGTACTCAAGGTTAACTGAAGGAATAAGGAAGTTGTCATCAGGCTGCAGTGAGACTTTTCTGTGATGTAGGTGTTTGGGGAGTCATCCCACCATGCTGAAGCACCCCATCCCTTGATCTGTAAGAACGCACAATAAGGTCACTGATTTGCAATGTTGGACATCCACGGCATTGCTATTTTGATAAAAATGATATGTCACTGTTGCTCTAGTGGGGATGAATAGATGCGGAAGTGTGAATTTGTTCATATTATCCCAGGAGAACATCACATAACAGTCTGGCACTTGCTTTTTTATGAAAACTATTATTAAATTAACTTTATTTTCCTAATTAAAGCTCAGAACTTAAAAATCTTTCCACCCAGTAAGTGTGAAATTGGAATAAACTGATAATACAAGATAACCCTATTCCTCCATTAAAAAGTTTGTATTATTTACTTATTATTGTGATACTGGGGGATAAAACTCAGGTCCCCAAGCATGTTATTAAAGAGTTCTAGCAATGAGCTACATTCTTTGCCTTTCTCTTTTTAAGTTCTTACTTATTGCCTTACTCCATACCCCCTGGTGTTGGAGAGACTGAAAACGCTTCTTTAACTATGCTGTCTTGGAAGGTAGCTAAGTGTCGCATGAAAGTAAAAAACAAAAACACAGACTAGGGATTTCATTCCCCAGCTCGAAGTGATTGTTTTCTTCCTGGCAGTATCCTTGGCTGTGTACTACTACCTCTCTAATCCAGGCACCAAATGAACACAAAACAAAGAGGAAATTAAAAGGACTCTCATGGGAAATGTTGTTCCATATTCTAAAATAGCAGATCAGAAACAGTGCCAGGGCTTAATGAATACAGACTCAAGGATTTTTTTCCCTCAAACTACAAAGGAAGCAAACATACTGAACATTATAGAGACTGAGGTGTCAGGATGGGAGGGCATGTGCTCATCTCCGGGGAGAGATATTTCTGATAATTAGTCTCTCTGCTGATTTCTAGAAGAGGGTTGTTGTGAGCATTTCCAAGGAACAATTCTCCCAGGGACAGTTCTTTACAAGACGGAACCCCGTAGATCTGGGCGTGTACCCGCCACTCTTGCTGTCCCCTGATCTTACAGCAGCATCCCACCCATCTCTGTTTAGACTTGCGCATGTGTTGATATGGGAAACCTTACTGATGCAGTTTAGGAATTGACCTACTTCAGCAAAGGGTTTCTCATGTTAGTCTCTTGTTATCCTGTATCTTTTCAGGGCTGTAGAAAATATAAAAGGAACAGCACATTTTCACTCACGTTGCTTGATAAAGGCTTTCTGAACTTTATAAGACACATTTAGTTTTGAGCATCCTTGTTAACTCACTTAAAAATGCTAAGGAAATTTATCCTATGTGCCAGGTGTCGATAAAATTCAGTCTAAAATGATTCAAATGGAAAGGAAAACTTTATTAAGGCAACAGCCCAAGAGGGAGGGGTGAGCTATAAGTATAGGTCAAAGATCTGTGTGGTGTTTTGACAGAGAGTGATCCACATAGGTTCATATACTGAATGCTTGGTCCCCAGATGGTGGAGTTGTTTGGAAAAGATCATGAGAACAGGACAGTCTTTGGGGGTTCGGCTTTAAAGTTTAAAAGCCCATGTCATTTCCTATTATTTCTCTCTCTCTCTCTCTCTCTCTCTCTCTCTCTCTCTCTCTCTCTCTCTCTTCCTCTCTGTTTCTCTCTCTCTCAGTCTTTCTGCCTCATGATGGCTTTCTCAACATGTAAGCTCTTAGTTACTGCTCCAGAACCATGCTTGCTGGCCTGCTGCCACACTTCCTGCCATGATAATCAAGGACTCACCCTCTCAAACTACAAGCAAGCTCTTAATTAAGTGCTTCCTTTCACAACTTGCCTTGGTCTTGGTGTCTTCATGGGTGTGGGGGCCCACAGAAAGTGGGTCCACTCTACCTTGACTGAAGGTCAGAGAGCTTAAGCCTACTCTTGCTCTTTCAAAGTTACTGACAAGAAGTCTGACTTAAGGAGCGACTACAAACAAGATATCCTAACCTAGGGTGTGGTTCCTTGGTGTTTTGAATATCATGATGCCCATAGAGGTGGATCTGCTCTACCTTGACTAAAAGGTGAGAGAATTCAAGCCTATTCCTACTCTGTCATTTTAAAACAGGAGGTTTGACCCAAGGAGTGGCTGCCTACAGGATACTTGGTTGAAGGTAAATTCACTACATATCCTGCCTAAAACATCACAAAGCTTAACTCAAGAAATGTTGGCTTGCTATCTCAAGTATTGAAGCAAGTGATTGTTCTGTTTGTCCTGTGTGTCATGTTAAAGTAGTCTTTTGCCTTCCTCTCCTTTTTTGATTGGGGTATATAAGCATATAAAAAATAGGTGTGGGCACATTCAATATTCAGTATTCACTGGCTAGTCCTCCAGTTCTATCCTATGTCTCTGTATTTCTTTCATATCTCTGTTCCTCCTACCTAATTTTCCTAACCCACACACCTCTACCTTGGAATGTAAAACCCATTGAGACTGGACCCTGACACATGAAAATAGAAAAATAACTAAGACATTTTATAATTCCAGCATTTCAGAGGCTAAGCTAGAGGATTCATGAGTTTAAGGTCAATGTGGGCTATATAGTAAAACCATGTATTAAGAATAAATAAAATTATTGAGGAAAGAAGGCAGAGTGTTAAAAACTGAGAGAGGTAGTCTGTGGTATGAAAGGATTGTGTACTCAGAAAGGACAAAGACAAAGACACCACCCAAGCTCCTTTTCTGGCCTACTTATGTCTGTGACATGTACAAGTGTTCTTGTTCCTGACTGGTTAGTTTTATGTACATGAAGGGCTTCGCTATGCTCATTCCTGTTTGGTTAACATTAACAAATGTCTACAGGTCATAGTTGATTGATAAGATCCCGGACACAAAATGAGACTTTCCAGAGGATAGCAAGCTGTTTGTTGGAGAATGATTGTGATTGGGAAGTTTTACATAATTGCACTGGATGGATTTTTCTCTGTTTTTATTTTGTTGTACTGGGGATAAACGTTAGGGATATATAATATACATGTGAGGCAAGTCTTCAGCCACTGAGTCACAGCCTCAACTCTTGTTTCTTGTGTTTCTAAGGGGCAATTTGTGTATTGGTTGATTTGGCTATCACTTTCACTTTTTAAAAAGATTTATTTATTTTGTATATGAGTGCTCTATTGACTGTAGGTCACAAGAGGGCATCAGACCCTGCTATAGATGGCTGT